GTATCCTGCGAACCGCATCTCAGAACCCGTACCAACCCCGCGTCTCACATCAACCAAAATTTTACGCGCTTTTACGCATACCCTGAAATACAAAGGCGATTCCAAAGTTTCTTTCCTATTTTTTATCTACCCCACAAACTCACTTAGCCCTTTTCATCCATATTTTTACTAATGCCAGTTACTAACTGATTATTAAAAAATTTAAACTTGGTCCTGTTCAAAGAGGAAGGGAAAATTCGCCAAAAGACTTTCAGCGGTGTCTGGCAGCCTATCTTCCGGGTTCCTCGCAAGATTGTAACATTTTAGCATTTTCCCGTTCGAACTTCAAGAAGCACAAAACGGTTTTATGTTCAGAAGTCTTCCTTTTACAGTGCAAATTAAGATCAAAAGATTCGCCCCTTTCTGCTTTTAGAAGGAAATCGGAAGTGTTAGTGACCAGTTGTCAAAACATGAGGCTTGCCAGTTTCCAGACGGCAAAAATATTAATAAACCCGGAAAACAATTTGTTGCAAACAGGTTAGCGATAAACTGAATCATAGCCAGTCTGTGCTGAGGTGGGTCAAGGATACAGTTTTTATTGTGGAAAAGATTTGGAAGTTTGGAATAGCAGGAAAGCGGAAAACCAAAAAAAACGGATGTCTGTAAAAACAATTTTATTATTTTAATTTGTGAAAGTTCGGAAATGATTCATGATCATGAAAATAACAAGTACATAGTAAGCCTTGACTATTATAAATTTTATTCAAAACCATCGAGAAGGAGAGAAGTGACAACATTACAGCTGAAATTTTGGAAGGATAGTGGTTAGGCTGCCAGAAGTACCACCGGCTAAATGATTTTTCACCTGGGCAGTTCTTCATCGACAGTTAAAAATTTTCTTTTCTTCGATAACTCAGAGAACATGTTACGTAATAAAAAATATATCGTTTGCATATCACTTGAAATGGCACGCAGGCAAAATAGGAAAGAAACTTTTGAAATGGCCTTTGTACAAAGAAAAACGATACGGTACGCGAAGCCACCTCAGAGGTGGCTTTCCTGGTATCTTTTGTTGATGAGCAAGCATTTTTTAGTATTGCCATTGTGTGACGATTTCTTTTCGTGAGTTATTTAAATTTTATGAAATTTCTAATTATTTTAAAACCCAACTGAATGCACAAAAAATTGGAAACAGGAAATGTGACCAGCTCAAAACAATAAAAAATAATACCATATAACTACAATTAAGTACTACAACATCATGCGGCTACAGAGAAGTGGAATGGTTTCGAAAAACAACGGTTTCGAAAAACCATTATTCAGACCGAGTGTGTTTTCGAATACGAAATTAGTTTCTATTCTTTACCACATTGAATACTGAATAGGAGCGCTCGGAAAATGAAGATCTAAATTTGCAAATTTTGATCCGTATGTACTACGTACTTATGTAGCTGCTCTAACGCTATTACTATACTGCAGCATGCTGGCCAAAACAAATAATTGCGCGGGTGGTGCGACTGATCTGACTCATCACCAGCTAAAAAGTAAGAACAATGATGCCAAAAACTTTCAATCCAGGGAACAACATTTTGCAATTCAGACTAGGAACTAACTAGAATGAGGGCATAAAAGCAGCACAAGAATTCTTCCAACAACCCACGAGAGCACAAAAAAACTGGTAAACAAAGCGATATGTGATCGACGCGATGGGACGCAAATACAGCGATACGGAGCCAAAGCTGAAGGTTCGATACAGGAAACGGAGAGCGAGCCCAGTTTCGATATGCGTAGCCTGTGCTGCATCTTGGTGGTGCGCACCAAATAGTGTCCCATTTTTGTACTGTAGCGAAACTAGATACGGTGCTGTATTGCAACGAGATACGCTTTAGAAAAGGGACGAAGCCTTTAAATATCTAAAAGCCGGCCCGCGGCCCGTTTACCGTATTCAATCACATGGCGGCTCTGTGGTACTGATGGTAGCTTGGGCATTCACTAACCTCGAAATCTAATAAACATATATTAATTTTATTTTAATAAATACTAGAGAGCTTGACTGATGGCTGACAAAATCTTACAATTAGTATCTACAGATGCAGCCTGCAAGGACACCTTGGGCGACCGTTAACTGTTCCCCGCAAGTTTCCATTAATTCTGCGCTAAAAAAATGGTATTTTATGGGCATCGTGTGCAGATATATAACCCCACTCAATCCATTTTATCATCGTTAAAATATTTTCTGTGGTACCAAAAAGTTCAAGTCTTCAGTTCGTTAGATCGGTGATATAAAGTTACATTAAAAACGCGATAAAGAACCATGAGAAAAAGAAAAACTTACGGGGGCTTTCACGGTTTTCAGAAAATGGTCGAATTTAACCGGAAAGCTTGAAAAAATTCCGCATTTTCAAATGTTTAAAATATTTTCGTAGCTGGCCTCGCTGGGTTTTATATTTGAAATATTTCTCAAAATCTTTTTTATTGCTTTACGAAGTATATTTTGTATTTCTTTCATTCTTCCATACCTCAAACACAACTGGTCGCGCGCTAGCGCGACCGATACTTGTTACATTACATATCCTTACGTCCTTATTTTTCGAAAATTATCTCCTAAATCAGGATTGATTTTTTCAATAAGTTGATAATTTTATAAAATAGAGCATCGCACAAACGTTCCTACCTTTATCTCTAAAAAAATCTCAAGTTTTGAAGAAGGTCTAAAAACATTTTTAAAAGCTGTAGTACTTAAATGTTGTTAGTACTTAAAGGTAGTAGTACTGTACTTAAATGTAGCAGTGTAGTAGTACTTTGCTAGGTTGCAGTAAGTAGTAGTACGGTATCTAGTACCCACAGTACTTATCACTTAATCGCCGGCGTATCATGAATTTTTGAAAGTTGTAGTACTTAAATTTAGTAATATAGATACGTACGTTGTAGTACCTAAATTAATGTTGTTAGCTCCTAGAAAGTTCTAGATACATGGTTGTGGGAGTATATATTTTGTATCTAGCAACCCATATTTTTAAATGTAGGAGAATTGCTGCTGCACGTGTAACGCAGTTTTACGTTCAAGGTACAACTTATATTTTATTACATCAAAACTTATAATTTATTACATTACTTGCTAATTATAGTTTATTACTTACTTACTTAACTTACTGACTTATAATTTTAGTACTTATAATTTATTTAGTACTTTTATTACATCAAACTTATAATTTTATTTGTTTAAATTCTTGGAACTTTAAGATGTTTTTAAATCCGTTCGAATACCTCAACCATAAATTTTCCAAAGTCGGCTCAAAAGCTTTTACATTTCCAAAATTTTGAAATATTTCTAAATATTTCGGCTCGGCCCAGCTGCACTGGGCCGTTACCTCTGATTTTTTGAGTCTCCAGAGTTTCGAAATTATAAAAATATCTAGAAATCTGAGTATCTCAATATCTCACGAGCTAAAGCATCTGTTCTATTATATATCTAAATTTCTAAATATCTAAAAGCCGGCCCGCAACCCGTTTACCGTATTCACTCACGTAGCGGCTTTGTGCTACTGGTGGTAGTTTGGGTATTCACTAACCTACGTTGCTCTGCAGTACTGGTGGTAGCTTGGGTACATGTATTTATTGACCTATGATTCTCTTTAATACTGCTGGTAGCTTGGGTATTCACCAACCCCTAAATCTAATAAATATGTACGTATTTTATTTTATACTAAATAGTTTGACTGAGTGGCTGAAAATCTTGCAATTAGTAGCTAAAGATGAATCCTGCGAGGTCACCTTGACACTTGAGCAACTGTTAATTGTTTCCCACAGTTTTCATTAATTCTGTTAATTTCCATTTACATCCGTCGTACCAAAAAACTGAAGTTTTGAGTTGGCTAGATCGGCAATATAAAGTTACATAAAAAACGTGAAAAAGACAAACAAAAAGAAAAATTACGAGGTGATGACAATTTCTATAAAACTGGTCGAATTCAACCGGTAAGCTTGAAAGCTGTCAGCATTTCTACATGTTGAAAATATTTTCTTAGCTGACCTCGCTGAGGCTTTACATTTAAAATATTTCTCAAAATCTGTTTTATTGCTGTGCGAAGTATGTACATTTTGTAATTTCTTTCTTTCTTTCTTTCTTCCATACCTCGAACACAACTGGTCGCGCGCTAGCGCGACCGATACTTGTAATATATAATTGTTGTATAGCGAGGTCGCCATCAGCATAGTATTCTACAAGATTGCAGGACAATAATTATAGAATATATTACGTACTATAGTGTCTCTTAATATGTACCGTTGTCCTCTACTTCTATCCACGTAAAACAGTAAAAGTGATTATAAACAATGTTACAGGACAATAATTATAGAATATATATTACTTACTGTAATGTCATCATTACTAGTCGATTGGTGTTTGGTATGAACACTTTTACTGTTTTGCATGCACAGAGGACAATACTAACAGTAGTAATTAAGACGAAGTGATCTGGAGCTCGGTGCTCTGGTTTAACCGGTGCTCTGGCGCCGCGGATGACGGTGCTGAGCCGGATCCTGCAGTCTGCATTACCGACTTATACCATCACCATGCAACAAATGAACATTATTTTAACGACATTACCCTGGATCGTCGTGGGCGTGAGCATTTCGATTATTCGCATTCCGGTGATAGACGTATCAGCGATATTTCTATCACCGCAATGCGAAATGAATGAATGTTAAAGCACAGAGTAAGTGTTAAAGCTGTGGCTCCACTACCGGTTCCGATGTTTGTCAAAATTAGGGCTATCAGTCCCCAGAATAGCGCCTCATTTATGTTGCTCTCTGCCTGCTGCTTCAGGTGACTCATCTCCGCTTTCTAGAAGCTTAACTACTTTAGAAATTCCTCCCGGATCAATGTGGCCGGTTGGCTCTTGCACTGCGGAACAATTACGGACAACGATACTGCGGAGTATCGCAGTTTCGTTTCCAGTGATTGTTCCGCAATGCACGAGCCGACCAACTGCAAAAATAACATTGAAACAGGGGCGTACCTTCCTTATCACCATTGTGCTGCACAAAACGTTGGAGTAAGATCACAAGCAAAGAAATCCCGTATTGAGGAAAAACTATAAGCCAGAAGAATCTCAAGATGGGAAAATCGTCAAAGAATGGCTGCTGTGACAGTAAGGCTGCAGATTTTCAATGGAAGATGCAGATGAGCGCAGCTGGACGGCTTTTTATAAGCAGCAAGTTGCAGCCTGCGCTCCTTCCTTTCCCATGCTCCCAAATTATTCCCGGGAATAATTTCTTCCATAGAAACAATTATTTTTCATCGTATAGCCCCTCGCACGGCCTAATAAAACTTTACTCCAGGAGGAACCGGTTAAACTTCGTAGTTTAACCGGTTCCTCCTGGAGTAAATTTTTATTAGGCCGTGCGAGGGGCTAAGGCAAATATTTAGTCAGAATGCAAAAAATGCCCACTGCCTAATTAGGTTTTGCGTGCATCAGAGGCAAATGTAATCACTGTGAAACGTTTGGACATTTTTTGTACTCAGCTGAGCTTACGGCGTAATGGGTTGGTTGTCTAACCATGTTTTTCTTGTTGGCTGAGCTCTCCCTCTGTCGGTCTAGGCCCACTTGCATCTGTACTTGTATTGATTGAATACTCTGTAGGTTCAACGAACTTGTTAGGATAGCTTACCAGGAATGTAGGAACAGACTTATGTCAACAACGGAGAAATCGGACGCCGGCGTATATTTGTACAGACACTCTATATGTGCTGCATTACACAACAATAATGCCGCTTGTATGGGATTATGACTCGCAAGCTGCCTTGCCACAAACCTTAAGATGTTAGAAACCGAAGAAAAAACCGACCGCGGCAAAGCACCGTGACCTTTCAGGAATGTTTAACTGGTGTTTCTTCCGGATCCATGTAGATCTACGAACTGTTTTGGCTCGCTAAGCAGTCAGTTCCTAGTTTAAAGTTTGCAAAATGATACATTAACAGCGAGTAACATTATTTATCTGAAACATCCTTTGCCTGCTACAGCTACTTTACGGGAAACAAGATGGCGCATGCAATAATTTGTTACCGACACTGTAAGATATCGATCTAGTGGTACAGTTACGGTGCAATAAGTCATGGCCAGATAAATGCAGTACGTTCAGAACGGCCCGCGCTGAACCTTGGATTCGGATTCGGAGTTGGATTACTCAAACTTGGATTCAGATTACTCAAACTTGGACTTGGATTACCTAACTTGGACTATATAAGTTGGATTACTTAACTTGGATTACATAAGCTAGATTACTTAACTTGGAATACTTAACTTGGATTTCTTAAACTGGACTACTTATTTTTTGGCTTGGATTACGTTTTCCTATACTGTATTCTCGTGCTTATTCTTATCCTTCTCTCAGGGTATTCTTAGGCTTCTTAGGTTTCTTAGGTTTCCTAGGTTATTCTTAGGTTTCTTAAAAAATATACGAAACCTACCAACTAAGAAACCTAAGCATAACCTAAGAAACCTAAGAAGCCTAAGCATACCCTGAGAGGAGGAAAAGAATAAGCACGAGGAAACAGTATAGGAAAACGTAATCCAAGCCCAAAAACAAGTTTTCCAGTTCAAGTATTCCAAGTTGTGTAATCCAACTTATGTAACCAATTTAAGTAATCCAAGTCCAAATTGGAGTAATCCGAATCCAAGTTTGAGTAATCCAACTCCGAATCCGAATCCAAGTTTGAGTAATCCAACTCCGAATCCGAATCCAAGGTTCAGCGCGGGCCGTTCAGAACTACAACAGTTTTCTATTTGCTCAATAATTCATTTACGAGTATAACCACATTTCATAAAGTTTAATTGGCAGTAGCCACTCAAATACCAATAATCGCTCGCGCTGGCACCTTACTTCATTTTAGTTAAACCTAACTTTTAAAGCGTAAACTTAAAGCGTAACCTTCGGAATTTGGTTGAACGCCTTGCCGTCCGCTCACATCGGCAATCTACTGGGCGACGACGAACGGAAGACCAGCATCGGCCTCCGACTCGGCGCCACGATCTGTGAACCGCACGACTGCGTCAAATGCCACAAACCCGTTGGTGGTTACGGGCACCATGGGTTATCGTGTGCTTTCTCCGCTGGACGGCATCCGCGCCACGGCGGTTTAAATAGCATCATTTGTAGGGCCTTTGTATCCGCTAGTGTGCCTGCAAAACTGGAGCCGCGTGCACCTCTCACACAAACGAACGCCGCCCGGATGGCTGCACGACATTTGCCTGGAAGCGCGGATTGTGTTTTGCATGGGACGTGACATGTGTAGACACGGTTGCGCTGTCGCATGTTGAAGCCACTTCCACCACGGCGGGAGCGGCCGCCGTGCAAGCAGAGGGAAAAAAATCAGGACTATATTTCTATCTGACCGGCCGCTACCTATTCGTCCCGATCGCTTTCGAAACACTGGGCCCGTGGGGACCTGCGGCGATCGCCATCATCAAAGAGCTGGGAAAAAGACTGCAGCAGCACACCCGGGAAGCACGCTCGCACGAATTTCTGCGACAGCGTTTGTCCATCGAAATTCAACGGGGAAATGCGGCTTCAGTGCTGGGCACGATGGAAGGGCTAGATAAACTAAACGAAATTTTTCTGTTATAGTCTTATGTGTTTCTTTTCATCTTTATCCATTGCGTTTTTGATTTGACCAGTAAAGCCCTAAAACTTAATCGATCTACATTACTCGCACCGTGCCGCATAGCGTATATCATTATTTTCTTTTCTGTTATCTCAGTTATGGACGAGCTTTTAAAGCCGTCGCTGCTCGAGGTCACCATAATGTATCCCTTGATTTTTAAAATCGCTTGCTTTTTCCCCGCTACCCAATTCCTGACGTAACGGTCGTGATAACCTCTAATGTGTTGGATAGCAACACTTTCCTGTTTTTAATTTGTATGTGTTCTGCTTAACATTTCCGACAAATGACAACCAAGATCACTATGCACACTATCAAAAGAAAAATGTGTAAATGATGTACTGTACTCCATCCCAAACGATTCCTGGCTTCTTTGTTAACTATTTAAATATTTGTATCCGAAAAACGTAGCCATAAAAAACAGGAAGAAATACACTCTATCATATCACGATTTCCTGGTCACATTAGCACAAATAACGGACAAACCTTGGCTAACAGCCGAAAACACCTGGTCGCCTTCGTGGCATAGGTCCTTACGCGTATTTTTTTTAGATTTACCAGTGGTCTAAAAACTAAAGAGCAACCTATGGCACCCTTTAGGTGTACACAAGAGCTGGGTAATTGCGCCCATTTGCGGACAAATGGGCAATGTGTTGCTGTACTAGTCCATAACACAACCATCTACCGTACGGCGCTTCTACGCCTTCGTAACGGGCCCACTGGCCTCCTGCTGTATCATAATACAGTACTTCTTTTGATGGCTGAACACATGGAGCTTCCCATTAAATATCAACAGTCGACAGAGGTCGGTCCTCCCAGCCCATCGCTTTGCATCTGAATGGTGGGAGTATACGGTCAAGTTCAACTTGAAAATTAGTCGTCTGTAATACACTTTTCGTCTGCCGGGGGTTGATTCTCGGATCGTAGATCTCAAAACAACGAACATAAACTTCTCCCTCCTTACCAGTTCTACCTAAGCAAAATAAAGAAAAATTTTTAGTCAAACCGATAGCTAGACGATATTACAGTTACTTTAAGTTTCGTACCTAGGACATACATTACCCCATCGGGACCAACGCCGACGCATAATTCGTGAAGCTTTGACAGCATTTTCGGCAGCGTTTTTATCGTTTTGTCGCGTGGGTTAAAACAATAAGCAGAGTCCAAGAGACGGTTTTTTTCTAGTAACAAATATGTCAGAAAAGTCGTGGCCGCCAAACTTGTAGATACACCCGCTATCGTCAATCGTCATTGCGGATGACAATAACGCCTTCCCGGGAACATTATACTGAATCACGTTGAATTGCTAAAGAGATGGTCTGTTTCAAAAACTCAAGACTACGAATCTCGCCGGTTTGGAGCAAAATCCACGAAATTCCCACCTGCCTGTATATTGTTGCACATCAACAGCTTTATGTTTGAATTTCGCGTAAATAATTATATACAACCATTATTATAATTATTATAATTGTTTTATAGCGAGGTCGCCGTTAGCATAGAGCTACCAAACACCAATATCGACTAGAGTAGTAATGATGACATTACAGTAAGTAACATATTCTATAATTATTGTCCTGTAACATTGTTTGTAATCACTTTTACTGTTTTACATGCATCGAAGTAGAGGACAACAGTGCATATTAATCATAAGAAGAAGTTATCGGTGCTTGCTCTAGAGCAAGCCTCATCCACGGCGCAGCTGCTTTAGAGCTCATCCACGGCAGCGGCGCCATAACACCGGCTAAACCAGATCCGCTGCCGTGGATGAAGGGGCTCCTGCAATCTGCATTACCGACTTCTGTATACCATTACCATGCAACAATAAACATAATTTAATGACATTACTCTAGTTCTTCGTGTCCCTGCGCATTCGCATTCCGTTGGTGGACATTGTGCCATAACTTAAAGGCTGACGCAGCAGCTCCAATCGCGGTCCCGATACTAGTCAATATAATTATATTGACCAGTACTGGGACTGAGACTGGAGCTGCTGCTGCCCTAATATATTAGGGCTTCTAGCCCCCGGTATTACAGCTACTTTTTGTTGTCCTCCACCTTTTTCTTCACTTGAATGATTTCCGCTTCTGGAAAGCGGAAATCATTCAGCTGAAGAACCAGGTGGAGGTGAAGAACCTGAATGATCTGAGAACCTGAACCAGGCAAAGAACCTGAATGATTTCCTCATTCCAGAAGCGGAAGTGCTTCAGGAATTCTTCGCGGATAGCGTGGCAGACTTGTTGAAATATTCCACCGTATCCAGATGGAATACTTCAACAAGACTGCCAACAAGTATTCCACTGTACGAGCGAACTAACAGCACACATAATATAAAACAGATACGCACATTTATCATCATCATTGGGGAGAAAGGTCACACAAAGAAATCCCGTACTGAGAAACGTACGGTAAATGAGCGGATGCTGAAGATAGCAGTGTTTTTAGTGGGAGATGCAAAGAAGGGCAGCTGGACTGCTTCCTTATAGTTATAAGCATCATGTGCAGCTGCGCTCTTTCCTTTCCCAGGCACGCAAAAATTCCCGGAAATAATTTTTGCACAGCAACAGTTATTTTTCATAAATAAGTATTTGTCTTACCGGCTCTTTCTGGCCTGCAGTCATTAGGCCGTGCGAGCCAGTAAGAGCGGCTAAGCCATATTTAGCAAGAGTGAAAAAACCCTCTACTGCCTAATTAGATTTTGCGTGCACTAGAGGCAAATGTGATCATTGTGAAAGGCTTGGGCATTTTTTGTACTCTCAGCTCACCTTACGGCGTAATGGGTTGGTTGTGTAACCATGTTATTCTTGTTGACTGAGTTCCTTCTCCGTGTACGCCCATTTGCATCTGTATTGACTGACTACTCTGTTGATTCACCAAAGTTGTTATAACAAATTTGGTGTTCCTGTCCGTTCCTGATAAGCAATCCTAATAGGATAGCTTATCAGGAACGAATTTGTGTCAACAAGGAAGAAATCGGCTTATATTTGCACAAATACAGAGTAATTATAATATGTGCTGCGCTGCACTACACACAATGCCGATCGTATGGAACCATGGTCAACGAGTCAGTCACACTTTGACACATGTGCCGCGCTAATAATCCGCCTACATATGTGGTTTGTTTTTGTAAACATATATCGTCTTATCGGACGAAAGAATGAGATATCTCGGCCACGTGTACTTCAACGAAACGTAAAAAATACGCGCCGTATACGACGGTTTAGAAAGCAACGTACTCACGTAAAATGTAAACTACAAAACATTTTACGTGAGATTTTACGTACTCACGTACCACTTGGTCTGCGCATTCTGTTTAACAGACAAAATGGCGATGAAGGGGCTGAAGGGTTGAAACTAGACAATTGCGAATGCTGGCTCGATTATCTAGTATGTAATTTTTTTTATTAATCTTCAAATTAGCCGTGGCTGTTGTAATATTGGCTTGTAGCCTTGTATCCTCAGCACAAATGGTGCGAATGCGGACTTTTTGTCATAATGTGCATGTTATTGTAACCCTTTGTACAAGCCGGTCCGGTTAATGAGCACGCGCAACCTTTGCAATGCAACTGGTACCGGCAGCCATGCTCTCCAGAACGTGTAACGTCCACGATATACACCGTGTGCATGTCTATCGGCGCCGCGATAGCTAGTGTCCAGGGAGAAACCATCGTCGGATTCATTACAAAAGGAACTCTCCTTTTCATGGAAGTTATAGATACCGTTTGGACGCTCCTCGGTACTGTCTGAGAGCTTGCAGACGTGTACAGAACAAGATAAGCATCGAAGATGTAACCCGCACCAAAACATGGAGAGGTTGTACTGCCGCAGGAAATGCAATAGTGGCAGTAACAGAGGATGTGGACGGCCTTGTTCCCTTCATATCTGCTGAATCGTCTCCGGCAGACGTCGGTATACCTGGACGTACCGCCACTGTACAGTGAACTGTTCGAGCTGCATACGGATCTGCCTCCTGCTTATGCCGATGTTGTGCGTAATTTGCAAGTGGCACATTTTAAAGGTTAAGACACAATTCAGTGCTTAACAAGATGTGTGTAGTATTTTGTACATAATAAAGTACGTACTGCATACCTGTACGATGTAAACGTTAACTCATTATTACGTAAACGTTGCTGCAGTAATACACACAGAGACCATGTTCATGCGAGTTGTGATTTTGCATGCTGCCTTTTATAATCCATTTAATCGCTTGATAGTTTCTGATAAACGGATTCATATTAAGACCAGATTATGGTTGTCTAAAATTCTTTTGGTGCTTGATAATCCGCACTGAAGTGGATGCACCGTACATGCGCTACGGCTCCAGAGTACGTTTACTAGGAAAAGTCCCGTAGACAAAACGGTCAACGGGACTTCAACGTCTGGTCGGTAAAAAAAGCTGAAGTTTAACAAAAAAAGAGATTATTCGAACAGATCGACCGTTTTGAGAGCAACCTTAAAGAAGCCAGCGCCGCTAACACTGAGTATCTTCATCTTAATTTTCTGTATCCGCACAAACACTTACATCGGACGCATTGCCAACGTACTTCCTCCGATTTTCTTCTTTGCTATGGCTTGATTCGCTTCGGTTTGCGGAGGTTATACTGCGATGACAAATCCTTGAAGTTGACCATTTCGACCAAGTATGGCGATGGTTCGTACACTTCCTGGTTGCACATGTACAATGCTACCTAGAAATATAATCTGATAATCATGATTGTCAATAATAGTTTTCATTTCGTAGGCAGCACCTTTTTCTGCCAGATTTGTTTGTGTTTTTTTTTCTGTTTTAATGCCTATAGGGCACTTCGGTCTGAAATTAAAAAGCATCTGTCCAGCAGTCTGTTCCTGTCTCCTAGTTCTAACAGAATGTACGGAAATACTGTAGCACTGTAAATTCCCGGGAACTACGAGTATTTTTTTCCATTTTTTATCTGACAAGTTGGCAAAAAGACGTCACTAACAATCATGCACAGACAGAAACGCAATCGACGAAGCCGGGTAAAAACATCAGCAAAATTAATGCTGTCGGAATAAATCATATATTATATATGAAACGTTTCGTACCAAAGAAAAAAACTGGAACGTTTTTTTCCTTCTTGTAGTCACTGTAGTCATCCGTAGACAACCTGTAGACTCCCTGTAGACAACCCGTATACATCCTAAGAAACCTAAGAAACCAGGTGACTACAGTATGTCTACAGTGGTGTCTACGGGCTGTCTACAAGTGACTACCGGTGTATACAGGCAGAGTATCGAGCTGATGCTAAGAAGGGCTACCTGTATACAGCGGTAGACATCCGTAGACTACCTGTAGACACCGTTGTAGACACGCGGTATACATCCTAAGAAACCAGGTGACTACCGATAGGTCTACAGGGTATCTACAGCATGTATACAGATGTCTACTGTGACTACAAGGCGCGAAAAAACGATTCAATTTTTTTCTTTGGTACGAAACGTTCCACAGGTGTATATGAAAATGGACAACATTTGGTCGTCTTAGTGCGTCGAAGAGTAACAAGGTTCAAATACTATCAGTGACCTTCTGAGCGGCCTCTGGCACATTTGAGGGAACGCCTGTACGTTTGAGCCGGGCATGAGCTACGCATGAATGCACGTCCAAGTTCACGCACGAGCCGGGCTGTTGCATCCATTTGCGGACAACGTGTTGTGGAACTAGCCCATAACCGCAATATTCACCCAGCAGCGGTGGTCGGTCTGCGAAATGGGTCCAGCTGTCCTGAACTGCATCATAATATACCATTGTATGGCTGAATAAATGGAGTTTCCCATCGAATGTGAGTAATCGAGTAGAGTCGGATGATACAGCCCACCGCTTTGCATCTGAATAAATAAGGTGTGCTGGTAAATTCAGCGTCCGATTCTACCTTGAAAGTGCACAACTCACATTTTGTCTGCCATTGGTTGGTTCTCGGATTGTACACGTCACAACAGTCGACAAAAAATTCTTTGAATTTTCGCATATGCTCCGAGCGTATTCCACCTAAACATACCAAAAGCAAACGCACAATCTATCTAAAAGCCGGTAGTAAAGATATACGGTATGTCTTATACCAATGACATATATCAGTCCATCGGGACCAACAGCGACGCAGCTTTTGTACCGTTTTGACGGCATCTTCGCCAACGTTTTGATCGTCTTGTCGCGTGGATCGAAGCAATATGCGGCATCCGAAAGACGACCTTTCTTATCGACTTTGTAAGAATGGTCATGGCCGCCAAGCTTATAGATGCACCCGTTATCATCCACCGTCATCGCCGAAGACAGTAAAACCTTTCCGGGAAAAGTGCCACAATGGTCCCATTCCTTCGAAGTATCATTATAGCATACGAAGCACTGCGATTGGTCGCCGCTAACAAGGACATACACCTTTTCACTGGCCACCAGCGGACCCTCGCACCGCCCGACGGGCAGCGGGGTCCAGCGCTCCCATTGGTCCGTATCGGAATCATATCGCCACATGCAGCTACGCGCGATTGCATCGTCATATATCAGTTCGTAGATCAGCACACTACCGCTCGGCGTGACGATAATTGGTAAATTGCCGGGTTGTTTCTTCTGCGATGGAGGTAGCAGTCGTACGGGAATCCATGCCTTGGTAACCGGATCAAAACGATGAACGCATTTTGGTCTGTGATCGCCGCCCACAGCAACTAGGATCGGTTCTACAAAGAGCCAAAATGGCCGGTTTTCGGTATGGTTCTTAGGGGTTTATTTCTTGCTTCTTTATCATTCTGTATGCTAGACCTTTATTCTTCTGTATATAGAAATATATACAGTACGTATTCTGTGCATTGACAATACTTTCGACACTAATAGTTTGTTTCTGGACACGCCTACTGGGCCATTGCCGCTTAAAATAGATTTTAAGCAATTCCTGTGCCTATTCCATCTTGCAACCAAAAGCAATTTTCTGAGGGAAAGCCTCTGACCGCGTCCTGGCAAATATCTTAAATGTCGTACTTCCTGTATGCATATACAAGGCTTACTGTATGAATCGCGATGTTGATATGGCGTTTGCCGGATTATGCCGTCCATGACCTTTTGAGACTGATCAACTGGTATTTTTTCTTGATCCATATGCATGCTCCGAACTGTTTTGGCTCGCTCAGCGCTCAGAAACGGCACTCGAATAAGCGGCAGAATTTCACCGACGCCAAGAATCCGTTTAGTTCGATCGGTATTAAACCAGCGCATCACAGCATCCGCCACTTCGTCCTCGCTCTTTGCAAACAGATCGTCAGAAGCAATGAGTTTGATCATCTGCAAAATGATAAACTGGTGTCATTAACAGCGATTAATAATTGCTCTTTATGTGCATGTCCACTTACTTGAGATTCGCTGATCTTTAGAAAATCATCACACCGTGAAACTACTGAAAAATTGTTTACGACGAACTTTTCGCTGATTTCGACTATATCGCGGCAGGACAGGGATTTCGCCGTGCGCTGTGTGGCTAACCAGTTTTCGGTGTCCATGTTTTTCTCCAAAAACTCTTTACATGCAGTGATAATCTCGGTTACATCGAAGAATAGCGCTGATTCCAGCAGTAACAGAACATTGTTTGTGGTTAAAGCGATTTCTTCCGTGTAAATGTACCGAACAATCCTGTAATTAATTAAACACATTGTGAGTATTTATGTACGCGGATTAGTTAAGTAAGAAACATTTACAACTTCCTTTGGAGCCAGAGTTTTTGAAACATCGTGCTAATCATGATTTCATGCTGGTATACATAGAATTCATTCAATGAATTACTGCACCGTTTATGTACGGAACTCGCCAAAGTTTATTTTTTCTTTTCGACGTATGTAGCCGGCAGAAAGGTTGACTGGCTCACGGCTCACGGAACAAACCTTTTTGCCGGCAAAAAGGTTTGTTAACTTTTTACGGGCGAAATGGCTCACGATCATGGATCACCGCAGTGTGACCGCCATTGTGAAGACGCTATGCGAACGAGATAACGCATTTAATTAAATCGGGTTTTGTTCTGCATACATATGTGTTAGTGCAGTACAATATGTACAGAAGCTACGTACGGTAACATATGTACTTTAGCCAACTGGGAAAAATTTCGCCAACAAATTTTTGGGGTAAAGTTGTTTTTTTATTTTGTACCAGCTCTTTGGACCTTGTGATAGGTATACAATAATAATCTACATACGTTGGGAGTATTGTACCACGATTCTTATGAAGACTGGCTGACTGCTTTGCTGTGCTAACCATAAGTGTACTGCTAGTGAAAGGCACGGACAGCATTCTTAAATTTCTCACAGAAGCGTTATTAAATTTGCATAAAACTATTCCTATTGATTTAAATAAGTACTACCTGCATACGTGTCTGCGTAGACCAAAAATGGGTTTTCCATGGTGTTCTAATTTGTTGTTCGGTTATCAAAATATCGAAGGTGTCAATCAACATTAGCACTTATCAACAAAGCTTTAGACTTGTGCACAATGCCGCCAAGCATGTGGTGAAATTTGGGACCCGTGAGCCATCCTGCCTGGCAAAATGGCTCACGGTAAAAGTGCACATACGGTATGTGCACTGTAAAGTTTGCAATAGTTTCAAGTCTCACATGTTATTCTAATTGTTGCAAAGATCACGTAAAGGCAACTGTCGCATACCTTATTTTTACCGTACAGGTGCCAAATCCTTATACTCTAGAGCAATCCCGTTTGTCAAATATGCTCACAGGCGTGGGCCATTCTGACCGGCTCACGTTCGTGAGCCTGCGTGCCGGGCAGGATGTCTCAAGAACGTTTGCACTCGAAAACTTAAAAGTTTTTGCTCTGCTCTTTTTTTAGCTATATCATGATGATTTTGCTGCATGATGAAGCGAAATAAGTTAGTAACGTTACCAACTTACCTTAGAAGATAATATTATGGAATATACACAAGCGGCTCGCCTAAGTATTATGCAATAGCACTGCCATGGCACAGCGCATCTGACAAGAGCGGCATAATTATGGACTTCAGAGTCACTATTTAGACACTTGCGTGGCTATCTTACTTGTATGAGCGTGAGCCTGTGTGCCGGGCAGGATGGCTCACGTGTAAGGGTTTCTCTACCCAAACCGAAGAATAATTTTAGCTAATGGTACTTGAATGCACTCTTTTTCACTGTGTTACCTATACAACTACAAACTGAATAATTATGTGTGTAATTATGCGCCGCGCAATGGTTAAAAACTTAAATGTGTCACGATAGTCTTATTAATTTTGCGGTGTTTCAAAGACTGCATTAGGCACGGTGAACTGATACTTTTTTGCGAGATAAACGTGATTCAATAGTACTGATATCCAGTTTTGTTGTCCTAGCTTAATGTTCGTGTACAGATAACACAAACTTCACATGTAATCGTGAGCCATTTTGCCGGGCAAGATGGCTCACGAACGTGAGCTATCTTGCCCGGCACCCAGGCTCACCAAAGTGAGCCATCCTGCCCGGCACGCAGTCTCACAAAGTTAATGTCAAACAACATATAAAAACAACTGTGTTTTGTCATTTTAATGCCAAACAACATTTCTGACCACCTTGTGACCGTACTGGACTGACAAAACACAGGCAGACAGTAATAGCGGCTTCTGATCTACAGAAGTTTAGAGGCGATTCTAATCTAAATATCCAATGTCTGATAAAAAAACATTTTTCCCCGTAAGCGAGTTCAGTAGTGCAGTCGAACGTTTATGATTATAGACTTACAGATACATTGGTAGAGGCCAATTGCATTTGGATAATCGATGCGCGTCGGGTAATGGGGAGCCGCGTAAAAAATTAGCCATGACTCAGCAAAAAAATCAATCGTCCAATCATAAGTCGAGTACGCTTCCGTGCCAAGAAAGAAATTGAACACCAAAGTGGAACTGAAAAATTCATTTTTGATGCTATAATGTGGTAAATGTGGTATTACTGTACGTCAAAAATGTTAACTATGAGATTTGGAGTGTGAGTCTGGGTCGCTGGATGCACTTTTAGTTCCAACAAACAAAAATTTTGTTGATCTGTGCAGGAGAGTTGCGAGTTACTCGTAGTTAGGGTAACGGTTGCGCTTCAACGTCGAAGCGCATCGGTTACACGGACGGGTAAGCTGAAAATCATCCCAGAACTATGGTTTACCAATCTATAAAGGGGTATTTTGTGTTGCATTAAAGAATTATTTTTCGATACTTGCTGTGTTGTGTATGATGCCTTGAGCGGTCTCTCTTATCTGACTTCTACTCCGATTTCAAACTGGCAACTAGTAATCGTAAATTTACATAAATTTGCGTTATCAATAATTTTTGCAAAAAACTGAGTTCGCACTACTGCAAGAACTGGTGGACGGAATGCTTTTATATTTGAAAGACTATCGATACTAAAGATAAGTCGAAATCATGAGTTAATAGTTATCAACAGTTATTTGCAACAGATCTAGGCACCGGACCTCGTAACACGTATATTTACCAACCGTGAGCCATTTTGCCCGTCAAAAAAGTTAACAAACCTTTTTGCCGGCAAAAAGGTTTGTTCCGTGAGCCTGTCAACCTTTCTGCCGGCTACAGACGTACAGCTGCACTTACTGGTCAAGAATTTCATGAGGAATATCCTGCAGCTGGATTTGTTCTTCATGAGAATCCTTCATCTGTGAAGCGAACATGGACCGGAAGTAGGTACTTTTAGCTACGAGAATTGCACGGTGACAGGGAATCCATTGGATTGGTTTGGACTGATCGTCCGCTCCTCGGAGCGACACATCAAAACGGTCATTAGGAACATTCAGAACAGGCTGCAGAAAAATCGAAGGAGAAGGTTCGGAGCTAGTAGGATCCATTCACACTAGGAGGTACAGGCAAAAATTTGTACAGAAACTTACAAGTTCAGTGTTCCCAAACTGGGACTCTTATTGAAATTGTCCGTGCAAGGCTTGTGGTTCTTGTTTTTCGTGCACAATGAGTTCGGAATTGTGCAGATAGAAAAAAAATTACCCAGATAATGAATAAAATTACCTAATGTGATTCGATGTATTAATAAATATAAACATTGGGTACGCATATTAGCTTTAACGAACTACTATCCACGTATCAAACAGCTTCCACGTCGATCTGGTAGAACGCTAAGCAGGGAATCCTTTCGATCGATATTTCAAAGCGACCACGGCCTGCTTTACCTGTAGATAGTGGAGTATGGAGTGGAATGTACCTAGGGATACATCATCTACAGTATGCTCTACAGCCACAAAGTACAGTGCTACACAGACACATGTACATTTATGAATTAATTATAGCTTTGTCATATTGATAGTCCAAGCATAGCCCGCTACTTACACATTTAACTCGTTAAATCTCAAATCGATTTAAATTCTGTCCATCATCACATTTGTATTCGTGATCGCCTATAGCACACTTGTAACTAGCGACACCGGCTACTATATAATATTGCCTTTTCGGCGTACTAAAACCTGGAAGAAGTGTTAACGGTCAGCGGCAAAAGAACGTGTGAACTGTGAACAGCGAGATAACAGGATTAAACGGTTTCCCTTTATCATCGCTTAGAATGCTCCTACCTACATTTGTTCAGGTACTGCTTATTGCTCAAAAACAACTACACAAATAAAATTTTAACCGTTTGATAAGGAGAATGGATATTAGAAAATTACAAGTAGCGATAGCGTTTTCTCGATTATAGGTTGGGTCTCACGTGTGGCGATATGAGCTCATCGTCGTACGCCGAATAATTCAATAACACACTTTCAGTCACACTTCGACACGTGTGCCGCGCAGATAAATGGTAATCCGTCTACATGTGTTGTTTATTTTTGTAAACACGCTTAGTCGCCTTATCCGACGACAGAATGAGTTATCTTAACCACGTGTAATTCAAAGAAATGTAAACAAAATATGCGTCGTAGAAGGCATATACTGTAATTCGGTATATATAGCGACTCGCGCTGCACTCTTCTGTGCGCATGTCTGTTCGTTAGTGAAATGACTATGCTAGCTAAAGGGTTGAAGCTAGATTACGTTGAAATCTAGCGATATTATTTTTTACGGAATTTCTTTGTTTTAAAATTAGTCGTAGGGACTGTGATGCTGACGTGTCAGTTCAGCGTAAAAGGTATGTATTCAGTAGGATATCAGCTAAAATATAAGTAATCCCTTTTAGCTGTTCTCAGCCTGTTTCCCCTTTAAATAGCACCGGTTACTTTGCAGATACCGTCGTCGATGTCATCGTGAAATATACCATAATAATCTGGATACCGTTCGGGAACCTTACCGGACTTTTTCTCCGATTGAAGTACGCACAATCGTGGCTGAAAACCTGGTACCGGCAGCCTTGCTTTCCCGTACGAGGATTATTGGCTTGTGTGTTTTCCTCGGTATACACTGCATTCCTATCCACCAGCGCCGTGATAGTTACTGTTCAGGGAGACACTGTTATCGGGTTCGTTATGAAAGGATCTCTCCTTTTTATGGAAATTATCGATACCGTTTGGACGCTCCTCGGTGGACTGCGTGAGAGCGCTAGCCTGACGTGTACAGGAGAAGTGCAGCATCGCAGGGGTATTCCGCACCAGAACAGGAAGAGGTTGCATTGCCGAAGGAATGCAATAGTGGAAGCAACGGAAGATGTCGACGGTATTGTTACTTCCATATCGACGGGATCGTCCCCGGCCGATGCCGGCGTACTAGATGCACCGCCATTGTACAGTGAACTGTTCGAGCTGCACACGGATTTGCCTCCTGCTTATGCCGATGTCGTGCGCAATTTTCAAGTGGTACATCTTGAAAATTAAGATCGTTTTGCATGCAGTGCTTAATTAGTCATTTGTACATACCTGTACATAATTCATTACTATGCAAACGTCGTTGCAGTGATAAACGACAAGACCATGTAATGTTTTATAGAGTTGTTTCTATGCTTTCTTTTATAATTCACTAATTGTATTGTATTAATTCGATAAACGGATATTAAAGCATAAAAATGGGAGATTTAAACACACGTTTTGTTGCTTGATGAACCGCAGTAACACAATATCGTTAATCTTTGCCTTAATGAGCTCTCAAGATAGGTTAAATCTACGTAAATCTAAATGAATCAGATGCCAACGCCTTTTCATGTTGATGAATCTGTCCGAAATAAAAATCAAGGTGGGGGGCATCTGCCAGATGTGACACCAATTAGCATTAGATTTCCAGCTTACGCTTTATCTTTCAGCATATTTCGTTCCCTGCTCTCCTTTACAGGACACTAGGTGACGCAAAAGCTGCTACCGTGTCCGTAACTGATAGATGCCGAATAAGCGGAACACTCGCGCAGCAATAAACTATGCAAGATAACCGGTGGGATGGAAACGATAAGTACGTTGCAGAATCATATCAATTTTGGTCAACGCTATGCGCAGGAGTTTTTCGTTTTAAAGGAAACTTGTACTTGTACTTTTAAAGTTGTACAAATTCAGGTTGAACTGTGTACCTACGAGTTTATACAGTACATAAATTTATGTACAACATAAGTACATCATCCAGACAAGTACTAATACAAGTTTTGCACAGTGTGCATCCACCCACATATACCTAATTTCGTGAAATAGTGAAAAGTCAGTACTTTGTGTAAAGTACTGCACAGTGTGCATCCATCCACATATACCTAATTTCGTGAAATAGGTGAAAAGTCAGTACTTTGTATAAAGTACTGCACAGTGTGCATCCATCCACATATACCTAATTTCGTGAATGGGTGAAAAGTCAGTACTGTCACAAGGGCAATGCGATACCCCCGTGATTTTCTAGGTTTTCCCCACTGCGGAAAAGAACGGGACACGACAAATTCACTTTTGTTACGTCTCCCAGCAGATTTACTGCTCCGCATAGGCATTTAATGGGAAAAGAACGGGACACGACAAATTCACTTTTGTTACGTCTCCCAGCAGATTTACTGCTCCGCATCAGAAGAAAAGCTAAAAAATATAGAAAATGGCAGAAAAGCAAAAACAAGAATCCCTTCTACGTCGTCGTGCACGCATCATCCCCCCGACTTCTAACGTAACAGCCACCCGATACACAACATGACACATCCTCCCTCGGTGGGAAAAGGGCTGCCCTCAGCCCGTACAAATTAAAAGAAAGCAAACAAGAAAAAGTATCACTCCCAAATGGCTAAAATACAGTAATACTTGTAAAAGAAATGACAAAATGGAATAAAGTACCCAAAGATTGTGCTTACTAAAACAGGCTACTCAGAACAGTCCAATGGAAGGTCATACGGATCCGTCGGCTCCGCAGTTCCTTCGCCATCTTCGGCCGCTGCGACACTGTTCACCTTCTCGCGTTCAGTGACGATGTCCATGTTTTCCAGTGTGTTGGTGGCCACTTCACAAGGCTCAAGACAGAGCGGATCGGTGGCCGCGTTCGGTACCAGCTCGCTCGCTTCGGACGTTGCGTTCTCCAGCGTCAGTTTGGCTCGGACAAACGCGCCATTGATATCGTTTTCCGCTTCTCCTTCAGAGACGACATCCATGCCGTCGAACGCGTCAGCAGCTTTTTCGCTAAGCTTGCTCTGGTGTGTGTCCGTTCCATCCTCTTTTTCCCCTGAGTTTTCGGCTTCAGCAGCCAATGGCATGTTATCGGCACTGCTGTCTCCCTCTTCAGTAACGTCTTGAAATGGTGCCGGTGGTTGCGTAGATTTCTCGCCGGGAATCCAGTGAGACGGGGTTACGATGTCGGGACGTCGACGTGCGACATCGGCTGCCGATGGTCCAGTGTACCCAAATGGAATGGTGCATTCGTACACCATTTGCGCAACGTTCGGGGACTCCCGCATCAAGAGAGGAAATCTCTTCACCAGGCAACCGTATCCTTCCACTTCTTGATACTCCCATGCAGCCCACCATTTATATTGATTTGATTGCGAGTAGTTTTGCTGCTAATCGTGCCGCTGTACTTCGTGTAACGGGTATCCAACAGCTCTCGAGCGGTTTTTCCTCGAAGCGTTGTTGGTTCAACGCTGGGCTGCGGAACAGACATGCCAGGTGCGTAAGGATGCACCACCGAACTGGTAGCAGTGCGGACACCACTGTTCAACGTGCCAAGGGCGCCGTCAAGAAGCGGAGCAGATGAAAATCTGCTAGGCATGATTCCAGACGGCGCTGAAATCGGCAAACCGGTATTATTAAAGGTCCCAGGGAGGCCTTGCCCGCTGGCACGATAAGCAGCTGCTGCATTAGCTGTTGTTGTGCCAGCTATAAACACAGTAAAAGGGTTTCCACTTGAGCGGTAAAGGAAGGTCCCCGAGAGGCCTTGCGCGTTGGCATGATACGCAGCTGCCACGGGAGCTGCTGCTGTGCCAGCCATGTGCACAGCGGAAGGGTTTCCGCTGGAACCGCCGGTAAAGGTCCCCAAAGGGCCTTGCAAGCTGGCGTTATTCGAAGTGGCTGCATAAGTCACTGGTGGGCCAGCTACGGATGTAATGGAAGGACTTCCATTGAACACTACTGCCGGCAGTGTCACGCCCGAGCAGCCGGGAAAGATCCCCGAAAGGCCTTGGCTACTGAACAGGGCTGCAGCAGACGTGTTGGCTGCCGTGTGAACGGTCGCCTGCAGCGGTGGGTTGGAATACGCCACTCGGTTCCGGTCCGAAATCGTAGAGGGTCACCGTAAAGTTTTCAAAGAAGACTCGGTGAGCTTCATTCAGCGCCCCTTTCATGGCTTCCGACAGGCATGCTTGATGACGGGGCGACTCACGTAATTCTTGATAAGCAGCCTTTAATCTCGAACAGGCTGCAGTGAATAACACGCGAGTACGCGCGGGGACCAACTGATAGTCCTCCTCAGTAAAGCAGCCAAAAGGAATCTCCCCAAAACTGCGGACTGCAACATGTGGGCAAGAGGGGATTTCGAAAGGAGTTCCCTCTACGTACGATCGAGCGTAAGCGGCGCGACAGGCACCGCATGGAAACTGATTATCGTAATTCATATTAACGAAAACTTTGAGACAAAAAAAATTTAAAAATAAGAAACTTGTTCGGTCTGAAAATGAATTCTTAGAGTGAATGTTGACAGCTCACTTTATAAACTGATCAGCAGTGCGGCGTGACTGCTCTTTGTCTTCTTGACCTGGCGCGTGTGAACTAAATCAGCTAGCAGCCAATAGAAAGCTACTCTTCCAGTGCCGGAAGGCGGCGCTTAATGCTCGTTTATGTATCGAGTTGGACGCCTAATCAACCGTCCACGTTTCGACACAGACGGCGCTGGTTTTAGACTGCGAGTTAGTAGTCGGTAGTTGACCCGCTTTTTTCCACGATGTTTTCCCTTTTTGGTGATGTGGTCAGCTGATTGCAATTCTGACGGTGGATCTCGAGCAGAAGTTTGTTGGGAATTACCCGGCAAATTTGCTGCTGTATCCACAACACCGGAAATACGTGGGATGTATTTCTGCATTCGGTCAACGTTGTACTTGTCCGGCTTCGGGTTTTTACCAAATAAAGGTATTAATTTGTATACATTATCAGAACAACGTTTAAGTACACGATAGGGCTGCTTAAATTTAAAAGATAGCTTGTCGGCTAGACCTTTCTTTCTTGCAAACTGCTGTACCCGAACCAAACTGCCCTCCTCAAATACAGTATTTGTACGGTGCTCATTCACCCTAGCAGCATCTCTATTTTGCTGCTCCCGTATTTGTACACGTGCAGTTTCATGAGCGGATTCGAGAGTCTGAATAAATTCTTTAGTGTACGCAGGATAGTCAGTGTAACCCTTTTGCTGATTGGTCTTGAAAACTGTGTCTAGAGGCAACGTTGCCTCTCTTCCGAATAGCAGGTAAAACGGGCTGGCCTGGGTAGTACACTGCTTAGCGCAATTGTGAGCAAAAACAACAGCCGGCACGTACACATCCCAGTCACGGTGTTTGCTATCTACAAACATTGAAAGCGCCTCTGCTATAGGTGCCATTTGGCGCTCACATAATCCATTGCCTTCTGGGTGGTAGGCAGTTGTTTTTAACTGCTTCACGCCGCAAATGTCCGTTACGGACATTAACAACTGATTGCGGAAATGAGTCCCGCGGTCGGTCCGCAGTTTCGAAGGTGTCCCATATTTAAATACAATTTCAGTTATAAAGAAGTCCGCTACCTCTTGTGCGGTGTCCTTTTGCAGCGCCTTTGCTATCACAAAGCGAGTTAAGTGGTCGACTGCAACCACTATATACTTGTTTCCCTTATCCGAAACAGGAAATGGACCGAGAATGTCCATTGCTAGGGTGTGGAATGCCGGCGGAATTGGCATTGGCTGAAGAAGGCCATGAGTTCCTTTCTTCGGAATCTTTCGCGCTTGACATTCCTCACATGACTCGATGTATCTGCGCACATACGAAATCATGCCGGTCCAGTAAAACCTGCGTGCCACGATGTCCCAGGTTTTCTCTACGCCCATATGAGCGGCCATCGGAATGTCATGAGCCGATCTCAGTATGTCCGCCCTCGTATGTCTGGGCACCACGAAACACAGGTGATCACAGCCGTTATGCCGGCGTGTCCGGTACAACACACCATGCTGAATGACGAACCGTTCATAAAACGGCGCATGCGCTTTACTTAAATCGGCGACATTTCTCACTAATTCACGCAGTACTTCGTCCTTCTCTTGTTCCTTACGCAAGCACTCGTAGTCATCGGTAACATCGCATGAAATCACCCACGCAGCCACTTCCGGCAAGTCTACTTCGTCGATTGGTGGTTCATCAATCGGAAAGCGGTTTAAACAATCAGCATTGCCGTTAAGGCAGCCTTTACGGTACTCGAGCACCATATCGTACGGGTCCAGCAATAACGCCCATCGGGTCAAACGAGCATTTGGACCACGATGCTTGCGAAGACTGGTCAAGGCTTTGTGATCATTGCGGACTGTGAACTTCCCAAATTCCACATAATGCCGAAATTTTGTCACCGCAAACACCACTGCTAGACATTCCAGCTCTGTGATACCGTA